CACACAGACCATGTTTCATTAAAAAGCTGAAGGGTTCATCACAGCAGACAAAGGTACAACACAAAAGGCAACGGCTAACACAGGCAGCAGAAACAGAGCCAGGCATGAAAACACACAGATGCATAATGTATATGACCTTAAGACCAGACTGTGCACCTTCCACAAATGAATGTCTGTAACAGTGAACCTGCAGCAGGTTGTATGTAAAAAAAAAAAAACGCATTTACCCTTGTTTTTTATGCAGTATAATCCAGTAAAAGAGAACACACCTGCACACAGAGCAGCAGCAGCAGCAGCACGGTCATACATATGCAGCAGACACACACGGGGCTACATATAAAAAACATGGGAGCATGCAGAGGAGCAACAGCATAATGCATAAAGAAGCAGAAACAACATGCAGGCGCACGGCCTGTACAGCAGCGCTGACGTGAAGACATGCAGAGTTCATGTGTAGTCTGCCACTTGGCATGTGGTGGATGCTTTTATCCTGAGCTCCCCGTGGTGCCATGCATGTATTTTTAGTGCACAAGGCCTCAGCGGGAATAAAACACAAGGCTGGTAAAAAAACAAAAAAAAAAAAGATCCAAGAGCATTAGCTACTCTGTGGAATGCAGATGAATACCACCCACCAGTGTGTATGGAGAGTTTAGCAGTAACACTCAGGGACCGAGCGCTGGACTGTCATGTGTGAATTCAAGCAGAAATTGCAAACAATTCCAGCAAATACTTAAAAAGGAGAGACAGGTCACAAGAGAGTTTTGTGATTTGTGATCATGTCAATGGCATCAAATAATTGTCATCGAAATTGTGCACTGAAAGAGTACAACTTGTTTTTTATCAACTAAATATGACCTTAACATTTGAATTACCACGATCAAGCTGGTATCATTTAAATAAATCGCAAACGTGCCAAACCAGCAACAACACAACTTGTCAGTCATTGTCCCAGTGTAATAGGAGTAAATTAATAAAACACACGTACACAGTTCATGTCTGTTTACTGGAAAACTGTCTTTTCAATTCAAATGCACTTTTCTTGTAGAAGCTCTGCCCATTTGCTGTATAGCTGGCTGTGTTAACTGTAGAAAGTTTATTTTTTATTTATCTTCATTTTCTACTGTATTTATATATATTTTTAATTCTCAGTATTATTCATTTGTTAGTATTTAGAGTGAATACAGTTTAATTTCTACTAAATTGATTTATTTAATTAGGGTAAATAATAAAACTGTTCCTTTTAAAGTAAAACAAGAAAGTAATTAAGAATAAAGCGGATACTTAATCGGTTGATTTTGATCAAATTAGACTAAATATTTTGAATAGAAATATGGCCAATTAGTTATACAATTGATATGAAAAAAATACTGCGCAGCCTGTTCCCTTACTGTCATTATTTTTTTTAGTCATATTAACATTTAAATAATGCAACCACACATATTTACAAAGCTGAAAAGAAAATCTCAAAACTCAAGTTCCATAGAAAAGAGCAGCATTTATAAACCTAAAAAAGGAAACAAGACGAGAGCACAGGTGTGATTCTTTGACCAGATTATTGGTCACTGTGAGCAGTGACGGCTCTATGCTAAGAAATGACAGATAACTTTGAGAAGACAGACGAGAGACGATGGATACAGAGCCTGGATAAATAACAGGAAAACACTTGGAAAAAAAGGGTGAAAATATAATACAAAAAATAAGTGAGGTACACAGAGATATAAATATGTATTTTGTTGCAGAGGAGCCAGACATAATGGAGCAGCGTTTTTCCATATTTTCCTCAGGTGTATAACAAATCACCAACACACATACAGTACAGTATGTGCTGAATGTGTTCCATTAGTTATTCAGGATCCTACATTAACATCCCTGCTGTCTCCACTGTGTGACTGACAAGACAAAAACAGTTAAAAATACTGCTTCGGTCATGTAGTACTTCATATTGATTTAACTAGTACTTCATTTAGAGGATTTTGTTGTATTACTGCTGTGGTTAAAATCCGTGAAACATTGCATGTGTTTCAGTGTTGGTGTAAACTGCTTTGTGAGGTGGTGAGTGATGGACTGATCTGGGACACAGTGGCTCTCACTTCAGCTGCTCGCCGTGCTGCAGTGTCTGAGTCACATCCGCAGGAGACGACACATTTAACAGGTTCGCTTTAACTTGCCTTTTTTAAAAAAAATATAATTTAAATTCATTTCATATTTTAAAGTTGAATTAAAATTTCAACACAGCAGAACCCCCTCACCAACATCCCCCAGCCCCACCCCTCAGGGTCACCTCTGCTGATGAACAAACAGATGAGAACAGTGTTAATGATCCTGATCATATAAAATCTCTTTGATTAGAATAGTTAGTCAAAACAAGAGTTGAAAACCAGTAAAGACTATAAACTATAAAATGTGTTGGTTCATAACTGTGTGTTAAATCAGGGATGTCCACACTTTTTTGGCACAGGAAGGAGGTGCCAGGGTAAAGTGATCGACCTACGATGAAAACATTAAAGATATATTTACTCATATGAAATAAACATCCATTTTATATCCTGAACCTTATATGTTGAGTCATTGTCATTGTCATTGTTGTTTTAAATGCTCATGACCCCTGTGTAAAACTGTATCATCCATACCTGAATAAAATGACATTCTATTCTGATCTGTTCTATTCTGGGAGGCAGACTCTATTCTCACACATTTCAGAAGACTCTTGGAAGTTTCACAGTCTTCCTTTTTTGGAGATTCTCTTACGTTCCTTCAGATCTGACCCTAACCCTGGTATGTTCCCTGGTTCTTCAAAGCACAGTTTTGGGGGTGAAATTTAAGGCAGGGATTTGTGCAGATCCTTCAATAACATTCATTTTGGCCTTTAGTCTTTCAACAGTTTTTAATAATGTTTCACATAGAAACAGTAAAGATGAAACTGAAACACAATGGAGCACTGACTTGCCTAATGTTGGGATTTGGTTTGTAGCGGTGGTGAAACTCAGATTTCCCACCATAAGTTTGAACGTACATAAAATTATGTATTATTACATATCACACAGAATATGTAGGAAAACACAACCAGTGCAGTGAACAGCCATGACGACATGGAGAGTGTGTTGTCGACTTCTTTATTATACTTTACAATTTGGTCTGAGTCTGAAAAAAGACTTTCTTAATGAATTCGTATGAAGTGGGTGTTGACGACGTAACCGTGAAACGCTGTAAGTCGAAGAGGTCGTAAACCGAGGACGGCCTGTGTATAGTATATACGGTATTTTCCCTGGTGCTGTTTTGTTCTGTTCTATATGGTTCTGTTTGGATTCATTTGAATAACTTTCATTTCATTTTTGACACTTTATAATGTGAGTAAATCCGTCCTCTGCTGTGTGAGCATCAATAAGATTAGTTCCCAAGTTTCCTTCAAGTTCTGATATGGTGAATATATATATATATATATATATATATATATAAAATTCTTCTACAGTAGACAGGTTGTTTTTGTCACATTCAGATTATAAAGATGATGTGCCCAGGACTGTGGCATTAACATTTCTTTGTTTTGAATTCAGTTCTTAATAATTAGTTCTGTAAAGTGATTTTGTTCCTCGTGCCCTTCAGTCAGCCCTCTCCATTTATCTCTGGGACCACAGCCTGTGGCAAAAAAAACAGGGGTTAAGTGTCTGGTCCGTGAACACATCAGCACACAGCCGGAATCAAACCTGACCTTCTACCAGGACGGCGCCCCCGCCTCCACCCACTGATCTAAGATGTCATATCAACCCAAACCATGTTGCTGTGACTGCTGAAGGCTTGACAGAAAGGTCAGAATTAAAAACAGCAGTCACCTGTGGGAGAAAAGAGATTATGGCAGGAAGAGAGGGATTTGGGAGGTAAAGAGGAGGTGCTGGGGGGAGGGGGAGTAGAGCGATAGAAGAAGGGGGAGGAAGAGGAGGGAGGTTGAAGATGATAACATTTTACAGATGATTAAAGAAGAACAGAAACGAGGAGAGCAGCAGAGAAGGGGTGGCATGAGGAGGAGGAGAGGAAGGAAGTCAGGTGTGATCTCTCGGAGCTTGGATGTTTGTTTAGCCAAACGAGGCAGCAGTAGAGCAGGGGATTATGGGATTACGGTCAGTGTTTTTGGTCATGTGAGCTGGCGGAGCCTACTCTGACCCTGCTTACCGTCTCTTAGTAAAGGAAGCTTAGCGTAGCTTGTTGGTGACACACACACACTAACACACACCCACGCACACCTGCCCACCCGCATTTACATCCTATGAACAGGTTCTTCAACGACTCCTCCTCTGGTTTCCATTTCTACCTTTTTGTGTCGTTTCCTTCTCTTTTCTCCTCCCTCCTTATCGCCTGACTTTTTTTGGTCATCTCTTTTTAACTCCTTCATCTATTCCTGTCACTTCATCTCCTTCCTTCCTCCCTCCCTCTCTCTCTCTCTCTCTCTCTCTCTCTCTCTCTTTTTCTATCACTCCATTCCTTAGCTTCCGGGTATCAAGTGTCCTTTTGCTGCATGCACACATGCACAGCTTATTCAAGCCCTCACAAAGCTGATACGGATTACTTGATTTCTCCACAAAGAAGAAGAATAAAGAATTAGACAACAGAAGAAGAAGAAGAAGAAGAAGAAGAAGCAGAAGCAGAAGAAGAAGAAGAAGAAGAAGGAGAAGAAGAAGAAGGAGAAGAAGGAGAAGAAGAAGAAGAAGAAGAAGGAGGAGGAGAAGGAGAAGGAGGAGAAGAAGGAGAAGAAAAAGAAGAGTGTTGGTGGCAATTATAGATGTTGACACGTCTCCATTGCTCTTTAGAAAAAGCGGCGGTAGCTAGCAGCGCTATTCAACAGCTGTTCTCCATCGATATGCTTCGGCTAATAACTCCACCTGGTGGACGTGCACCTTACTGTGAAACAAAGAGAGCGGCCGTTGTACTCAGATTCTGGTCTTTGACTGTGGAAAAATAGAACTTCTGTGCAGTGAAACAGACTCCAGTGAGGAAACAGGAGTGGAATAAAGTATCTTAATGTCAGCAGCAGAGGCTCAGACCAGGACCATGTGGAGTCAGTACAGGAGGAACTCTGGCCTGGGTGAGTTCCACTAACATGGTAACAGTCACAGCAGTAGTTTGCTGACGTGCTTAATTCATAATTCAATGATGTAACGTGCCACTAAAGTCAAAGAATTTAGATTAAAGTGAATAAATAAACATATGAGGTTTGGCCTGAAACTACATTAAAGTTAATAAGAAACGCTATATATTTATAAAATATACAGAATAACATGGTGGGGCTATAATGTGAACATTTATAATATTTTACAATTTTTAAATAGTTTAAATTGAATGACTATATATATATGAATATATATTTATATATGAGTTGATAGATACATGAATGGATAGATAAATAGATAGACAGTATGTATATAGTAGATAGATAGTATATGTATACAGAAATAAAATGTATAACAAGTTTTTTTTTCATATTAGTTTGACTGATGTTAACTGTCTAGGCCAACACTGAACCGACACTGTGTGGTATGAAAATTATTTTCTTTACATAAAGGACAAATGAATTGATTGAAAGCATCTTCCTGCTACTGAGGAGACACGAGTCACAGGGTCAGCAGAAGCAATCTGGTCTCCATCACTGGAGGCCAGGAGAAGTCACAGCTCATTTTATGAGAGCAAAACAGGACAAGAGAAAAATATGAAACCGTGACACGATCAATATCTGACATTGTCAGCCCTGATAAAAATTTAATTACAATCTTTGCTGCCTACAGATCGAAAAACAATTAGCAATTAGCACCAAATATCACTCATCAGGCGAATAAGTTATTAAAGATAATGGTTTTCACACGTTCGATGCTGCCTCTGCCACAGCAGTCAAAGCTGGACAGAAACACAACAATAAAACCAGTTAAGTGAGGAAAAATATAAACATATGAAAAATGAATAAAAATGTAATAATAACAAAGGAAAGTCCATTATTTTAACAGAATATTCCAACCACTGCTGAGTTCATTTGACTAACTGGACACATTAACAAAGATAACACAACCAGAGTCTGTCTCTCCCAGCAATTACCAAGTAAACAACACGCTCAATGGAAAAGTGTCAGTTGATGGGAAGGAGACGACTATGAAAGAAATAATTCTGCTTTGAATAAAAGCCCAAAAGCCAAATATTAGTAAATAACAAAAAACTGCATCCCTGAATATTTATCTTTGTTTTGTACTTAAACATCAGCAGCAGCAGCAGCAGCAGCAGCAGCAGCAGCAGCAGCAGCAGCGTGTGGAGGAGTAAACCTCTGATAAACCTCAGCATATAGAAACACAACTGTGGTTCCAATATAAATAATAGGCTTTTATTTTCTCCTCCAGTAGAAAAACAACATACTATTATCTGTCAGTACTGGGATTGTACGATCAGTACTAGGATGGTACTATCAGTACTAGGATGGTACGATCAGTACTAGGATGGTACTATCTGTACTAGGATCCAAGCAGTTTTAAATAGACAGACTTATTGCTTTGTATCCCCCCCACAGTGTGGTGGTAATTAAAGGAGATCAGATAAACAATTCCAAAGGAGAATGAAATCACTGTAGATAGTGAAGTTGGATTTGCAGACCTGTCTCAGCTGAAGTCAGAGGCTCAGAGACATAAGGCTGTTGTTGTTATAGTTTATTTTGTTTTTCTTTTAGTTGTGACTGTGTTGTTAAGCCGTGGGTTTTGTTCTTCTGCTGCGTAGGTGTCGGGGTCAGGATCAGTCTGTGTCCAGACGGAGGAGTAAACACAGACCACAGGCTTAGTCTGACCAGATTATACTGTTTTACCTTTCACTACTACAAACAGGTGTGGGATTGGTACATAGGAAAAGCTGGATTATAGCAAATGGCTGAAAAAGGTCAACGCGGACCCAACAGTTGGGTCTCGGCTCTGGTCGGTGGAAAACAAACAACTGAAGAGAGATAATACAGGACATGACTTTGGGATGTACCACAGTACAAAGTAAACAGTCTCTAATCAACAGATTCTCCATTGTAACTATTTACTGCATTGGTTATCAATAGATTTTTTCACTTATGATGACGTTTTTTTAAATTATCTTAAAACACAATGAATGGACCTTGAAAGAAGCACAATGAATATTAACATGGCTTTTCAAACTGGGACATTTATGTCTCATTACTATGTCTCATTTCCAGGTGATTTTGTCAAATAGTTGAATAATAATATTAATACTATAATAATATTAAATCAGATTGTTTTTTGTCTAACTCTAATCAGACACATTTTGATAACCTTTTATCAGCATTTAATTAGTTTTTGCTTTAATCTTTTTTCATTATCTTTTACGTAATTATTTAATATTCTTACATTGTTTTTAAATATCATTAGATTATTATCTGTCATTCCTGAAAGACAGTTAGCTTTAAAACAACAGCACAAAGGTCTCATCATTAGGGTTTTAAGAAAATAACATTGTGTAATTTGATGTAGATTTTCTTTAAAAAAAACAAACAAAAACAGCCTCTTCTTCTAAAAATAAAAAACTATACCTGATTTCTGTACTAAATGGATCCTCATTAAGGGGAGGTAATGCAGCAGAGACACAGCACATCTCACACTGTAAAGTCCTGGGCTGGGATTTTCTCAGATTTATCATGAAGATAGAGGGGATGATGTTTTCACACATTTTCTGATGCATCAAAGAGATGCATGAAAAGACATTCGGTCTTTTATTATTTTGTCGTGACAAACTGCTCTTGATCTGTCTTGAAACTTTTATCACAGCATTTAAGTTTTACTTAGGCTTCAACAGGAGACACTGCGTCAGTGAAAAAGAAAGTTAGAAATGCGGTGCTCATCCTCAAACTTCCTGCTCCCACTTGCTTTCAATTATTGATAAATGAAGTAGACTCTGTGTAATTTGATATTTTTCAAAATGTACTTGACACAAAGGGCCAGAAATAAAAGAAAAATATGTCAAGGACTTGCAATATTGAATTCATGATGCATACAGTATTTTATATGTTTACAGCTAATGAGTAAAAGTACTTTTATGTCTCTTGGTCTTTGTGGAATTTGATATTATCTATGGATTTATCTCTTCTCAGAACTCCTCTGTTCTGCACCCTGACGTCTATAAAATATTGATTTCTCCAGGTTTCAACATCACGTGTGTCTGAGATAATGCATGTCTCTTATTTGACACATAAAAGAGTAAAAACATGAACAAATTGTTCAGCTCTGAAAATATTCCACATCATTTATTTTCTTTGTATTTAACCAGTGCGTTATCATCATTTTTCAAAGAACAAACTGTTGGTTTTAGTTACTGAAAAACAACGAGAACTGTCAAACCACAGTGGGGAAAACTGGAAAATGGGAAAACTCATTTGAAAAAAACAAAAACATTCCAAAACAGGTCCATGAGAGATTCTTCATGTGTGTAATACTGTAAGAGTGCAAATAACCAGGTCAGTGGTGTTGCTAGGATACAAATCAAGCTAATACAGTATATGAGGCACCAGCACTAGCAGAGTTCAAATCTGAACTATGACCTCTCCACCAACTAGACTGATCAACATCCTCTCTCTCACAGATACATGATTGGCCTGAAAAGGTAGTGCCTGAGAGGTGGATGTTCCAATGGCGAGGAGCAAAACTAGGTCCCCTCCAGACCCAAGACCAGAACCACAGTGGACACCACACACACTCTGGAGTTGTGTGTCAGCTGCAAAGGTGTCGTTAGATCGCCCACAAGTGCAGCCTTCACTCTTAGTGGCCATCTTCATCTACCTGCTCTCAGCCTTCCCTGACATCTGTGTAGCTGCTCCGCCGCGGCCAGCCGGCCCCCCGTTACTGTCTGGGCAGCCTTTCATCATATTTTGGGGAGTTCCTGATTCCTCCTGCCCCAATCGTCCAGATCCCAGATCTTTTGGGATGGAGAGGAAAGGACGTGTTGAGGTCTTCTATGAAAACACGCTGGGAAAATATCCATATCTTGTCGATAAGGACACTCCAGTCAACGGGGGGCTACCACAACACACCAAACTGGACAGCCACCTCCAGAAGAGCCAGCAGGACTTGGAGCTAGCGTTACCTGCACCAAGGTATCTTGGGTTGGGGGTGTTGCACTGGACAGAGTGGGTCCCTCAATGGACCAGAAACACAGAAAGGAAGACTATGTATCTGGAAGCATCCAGGGAACTGATGAAGACTTTCTTTCCCAAGTGGAGTCCAGAGGAGGTGGAGAAGTGGTCACAGGTGAGAAGATGTCTTAACAGTCATCATCACCTCTTAGTACGTAATATTTCTGATATCATTTTGATTATTTAAACTTTTTTTTTAACTGTAAACAAAAGAACATTATCATATAAATAGCTTTGTATTGAATGTAAAAATAACAAGGCTGACAGCAGAAATCTCAGCGGGACCTCATTCTTTGTAGTTCCTCTTTACACATCTGTGGTACAAGCAGAAGGTCCTGGGTTCGAGTCCCAGCGGAGCCACATATTCAGTGCCTCCAAGGTGCAGTCCGTCAACTCCACCGGTGTGAGATCAACAAAGATCAGAGCAGTCTGACATCAAAGACGACTCCATTCATTATATCAGTGATTCCCAACCACTGTGCCGTGGCACACTAATGTGCCGTGAGAAACATTAGCTGTGCCGTGGAAAATCATCCAACTTCACTTAATTAATTTTGTTTTTTATTGCATATAATATTTCGTTGCTCAGCAAAGCATGAAAGGCAGAACAATTAAATACTCTTCTGCTAGGTGGCAGCAGATAGCTTTGAAAACGAAAAAATTCTAACTAAAAATCTTCTATTCCTGCCAGTATATATATATATATACATATATATATATATGTGTGTGTGTGTGTGTGTGTGTGTATGATGAATATGTGGCTCAAAAAAGGTCAGGAGACACATTATAAACGCATTATAAACTGTATGGTGGGGGTCCTGCTTTATCAATACACCAGATCAGGGGACATCATAGGATACTGGGTATTGGAGAAATGATCTGATGGAAGTGCAAATATCTAATTGTCCATGATGACTTACACATCAACATATAGGCTTACAGTAGCAACATGATGGTAGTCATATAGGAAAAAAATAAAAGATAAGGTAAAAATGAAAGTGAGTCAAGAGTCAGGATGAACACAAGGACAGATACTGTCAGGGAGTGACGCTGGTAAAGCTATGATAAAAAATAAAAATCACCCAGGAGTTGGGGTACATCTCGGGTGTTCCTTTGACGGAATTTCACAGTAAATAACACAGTGGCATTAAATTTACATCACAGAGAGACAGAAATGTCCTTGGATGTCCTTCGTGTCCACGTACTTCATCAAGTTAGAAATGAAAGGCTTCATAAATATGCAAACAACAAGTTCATGGTTCACACGAAGTGAGAGAGAATGAAAAGGTGTGATGTAGAGAGTGGAGAGAGTTTGTGTCTTTGTGTTGTCTCATTGTGGACTTTATGGCAACAGTAAAGGAAGCAATGAAACACTATGAACAACAAACAACCAGAATATAGACTTGATCAAACAGTACGATGTGTACGCTGTGTATGTTTATGTAAACAGGACAAGTCTGTGACTATAGCAGTCTGTACATCTCTGTGAAGTGGCAGGATGATGTAATCACACATTCATGATGATACACCTTTTTCTTCAGTCTTGTAAATGTTGGTAAAGGGGGGCTTTAAAATTAAGCTTTAAAGCCAAGGAAATGGGAAATGTGGATGGGACTCTAACTCACCCCAACAGGAAGGAAAAACATTCACATTAATGATCCTTATTTCTAGTAAACAAACCCCGAGAGTTGCTGCAGTGATAATGTGTCATTTCGTGTTGTGAGGTGATGTCATCTGTTTAATGTGTGGTGCAGGTGGACTTCGAGGCAGCAGCCCAGTCAGTAATGACAGAGACTCTACGGGAGGTCAAAAGATTACGACCCAAAGCATTATGGGGCTTCTCCACTTTCCCCAGCTGCTACAACGGTGACTCTGCCCAGACGGTGTTAGCCAATTACACTGGCCAGTGCCCTGCTGCAGAGATGGCCCTTAATGACGAACTTCTGTGGCTGTGGAAACGAAGCTCTGCCCTTTACCCTCTGCTAACTCTGGAGAAGCTGCAGGTGGGACACACCGGTTCTCTGGCTCTGAGCAACTTTCTCTGGTTCTTAATTTGAGCTGGAGTTTTTCTCCAGAGTCTTGTAGACTCTGTGTAGGCAAAGGATAGGTTGAATGGGTTACAAACTACAGTCCAGTCTGGATTTACTCTGATGTGTTGAGAGGTGTGTTATCATTTTATCTGACGTAGCAGGAATAACAATGTGTGGGACTTGTTTGTTTTGACAGAGTGGAACCTCTGGAGCCATGCTGTATTTATCCAGTCAAATAAAGGAGGCTCTTCGGGTTTCATCTCTTGAACTGGAGTTTGATCTCCCTGTTTTCCCCTTGATCAAGAGTGTCTACATGTCCACTAACACTTTCCTGTCACAGGTAATATACTGCAAAAAAATCTGATGAATCATAAGAGTCGGTTCAGGTGCACTGCAAACGGATTTTACATTAAAATTTTTGGGAAGACAAAACAGAGGAAAGAGCGAGTTAAATACCACAAAATATATTGTAGGTGTCTTTTCCCCGTTACTTATAAGTGAAGGGA